GATGCCAAGCTCTCTGCCGCCTACAACAGGCGAGCCAGGCTCCACTCCCGCCGCCGCGGCGAGCATGGCGCCCAAGGCCCCCAAAGCGCCTCCCCCTCCCCCGACTTTTTCGCTCCGCCGGGGGAGGGCCCGGCGTCGGCATCCCGCGGCACCTTGCCCCTCTTGAGCAGGGACCGACCGTCCCGGTATTCCCATAGCCCTACCACGAGATGTTCTTAGAACCCCTAAGAATGTTCTTTTTTCTTTCAGACTTCGGCTCGAGTCCATGGACTGCCTGTGCTATCCCTCTCCAGAGGCAGATTGGCGGCGCTGCGTGCTATGTAAAACTGTTGGAACCACAAGGGAAACTCAGAACAAAGGCGGTGTTCTTAGAACATACACCCGATGTGCTACAACAAAACCAACTCCGCCGGACATGTTCCAAGAACATTTTCGTGGAAACCACAAAAAAGGTTCTCAGAACACTGTTTGGTAGGGCCATAGGCGAGCCAAAACGCCTCGCCACTGCTTGACCCTCTGCCCCTTGCCCACTCCGTGGCAGCCGCGCCGGTGCCTCGCTGCCCCGCTTGCCGTCGCCTCGACTCTCCGCGCCCGCGCCGCGGCTCCGCGCGGGTCGCCCCCGTGGGCAACGACGGTGCTCCTCCCCGCTCCCTGCCATCCACGCCCGGCCGGCTACGTGCGGCCACTCCACCGCTTTCGCGCTGCGGCCTCGGCGCCGGACTCTCCCCTGGGCGGGCAGCGTCTCCCCTCGCCCTGCGAGCCGCGCCTGGCCTCCTCTCTCCCCCGCCCCACGGTGGCCACGCGCGGCGATCTCCAGCGTGGCCCCGCATCGGAAAGCCTGGCCGCGCGCGCTTGCACCTGCCGTTCGCCCGACTTGCTCCGCCTCGTCGCTGCGCGCGAGGCCTCGACCGCTAAAAAGAGTGTGCGTGTGTGTGTGTGTGTGTGTGTGTGTGTGTATGTGTGTGTGTGTGTGTGTGTGTGTGTGCGTGCGTGCGTGCGTGCGTGCGTGCGTGCGTGCGCGTGTGTGTGTGTGTGTGTGTGTGTGTGGTGTGTGTGTTGTGTGTGTTGTGTGTGTGTGTGGGTTGGCGTAGTGTGTGTGTGTGTCTTGTGTGCGCGTGTGCGTGTGTGGTGTGTGTGTGGTGTGTGTGGGGTGTGTGTGCGTGTGTGCTTTGTGTGCGTGCGTGCGTTTGCGTGCGTGCGTGTGCGTGTGCGTGTGTGTGTGTGCGTGTGGTGTGTGTGTGTGTGCGCGTGCGCGCGCGCGTGTCTGTGTGTGGGTGTGCGCTGTGGCGTGTGTGTGTGTGTGTGTGTCGTGTGGTGTGTGTGTGTGTGTGTGTTGCGTGCGTGCGTGCGTGCGTGCGCGTGTTGGGTGTGTGGTGTGTGTTTGTGTGTGTGTGTGGGTGTGTGTGTGTGCGCGCGCGCGCGCGTGTGTGTGTGTCAGTGTGTGGGTGTGCGCGTGTGCGCGTGTGCGTGTGTGTGTGTGTGTGTGTGTGTGTGTGTGCGTGTGCGCGTCAAGGACTGTGTGCACAATAATGCCCGTGCGCACCACGGAGCCTGTGTCCACTACAGCCGCTGCTGCGGCAGCGAACGTGTGCACCACGGCTCCTGTGCACACCACCAGTGCTCGTGCACCAGAGTGTCAGTGTACACTACACCATGACGCCTGTGTGCACGACAGTCCCTGCTCTCGGCGGGCAGGGCCGCGGGGGAAGTAGACGGCAGGAAAACATCGTTCGGACGTCTCTCGGTCCCGGGGGGGGGTCGGCACCGTGTGCTGCAGTTGCGGAGCGCCGAGTGGCGGCAGGCCTGCTAGCCCTCCCCGCAGGGAGGTGGATAGCCGCCAGCGCGGCTTATTAAAAGACGAAGTCGATCGTCGATGCTCGATGAGGGGAGGGGGCCTCCGAGGATGCGGGGGGTGTCGACTACGCCCCCAGGCTAACATGGGTATGGGCGGGTGGGCCCTCGGATATATCAGACTCGCAATTTTTATACCCTTGGCAGCGCGAGGACGGTGGTCACCCCGACCATGGATGCTGTGATGGCGCCTGCGGCAAGATGAGCGGATCCAGCAAAACAGTGGCCGAGGCTGGTCCCGAAGAGTCTGCACCCGAAATGCACTTTCCGAAAGTCAGCTCACTTGAACAAATACCTGCACAACAACCACTCCGTGCATCACAACGTTTCTGTACACCACAACTGCTGCAACATACGCGTGCACCACAACGCCTCTGTGCGTACCACTGTCTGCGTGCACCTCAACACTCGTGTGCACCGCAGCGCCTGCGTACACCGCCATACCTGTCTACACCAAGTGGCCTATGATGTGTACCAGAACTCCTTCTTGGACATTATGTGTGTGTGTGTGCAACCCCACGGATGTACACCGCTTGTTGGCACCACTACAAACCTGTATAGATCTCCTGGGTCCGCAGACGGCCGAAACTCGGAAAATCGCGGGGGGCCAGGACGTACCATTGTCAAAATGTGAACTATTTGTGGTTACTGTTTCCCTGGCCCAGGGCACAGCTCCGCCCGCATGTTCGGCCCACAGTGTCGGACCCGCGTACATCACACTGCCCTTGTGCACCTCAACGCCTGTATACACGGCAATGCGTGTGTACACCGCAGCCGCTGCAGCAACAACAGATGTGTGTACCACAACGCCTGTGACCACCGCGCATGTCGAAGAGGCCTGTGCGCACAACAATGCCACGATGCAAATGATGCAAATGTACACCACAACGCTTGTGCGCATCACCACGCCGTCGTACACCACTTCGCTGCTGCAGCATCAACTGTGTGCGCCACAACGCCCGTGTACACCAAAAAGTCTGTACATCAGAGCATCCGTGTGCACCACAACGCCTGTGTGCATTACCGTGCTTGTGTACATCACAACGGCCGTTTGCACTAGGCATGCTGCTTCAACAGCGCGTGCGTACGTGTGTGCACCACCAGCTGGTGCAGCCCTTCGGCGACCACGGGGCTTGCGGCAAGGCGAGCCTCCCCCCCCACGCACCTGTCCCGACCAGCCCCCTGCGGGAGGGTGTGACCTCTTGGGGAGTCAGGGCCCTGCCTGGCGTGGCTGGGCCCACGCCTGCGAGCCCCAGCCTGCCGCCCGACGCAACCCCTGGCCGGGTGTACCTGGCTCCTTGGGGCCACGGTGCCTGTGCGGAGCCGCCCTGCTGCGGGTCTCTGGGGCCCACCTCGCCCTTTCGGCGCCTGGTCGCACCCGTGCCTGCCTGCTTTCTCTGCCCGCCTCGCCCTTTCGCGCTCGTGCCTGCCCGCCTCGCCCTTTCTTGCTCGTGCCTGCCCACCTCGCCCTTTCGCGCCCGTGCCTGCCCGCTTTCTCTGCCCGCCTGGGCTCACGCTCGGGGCTCTCCCCGCGCCTTGCCTCGCGGGCGGCTGGCGCGGCGCCGGTCGCTGGGGGCCCGTGTTCTCGCCTGTCCTCGCACGGCCGGCTCGCGCTGGTGGCTCTTTCCCCGCCAGGCGGTGCTCACCTCCCGGGGCGCGGGCCCAGCGGCGAGGAGGAGGGGGAGGGGGAGGGGGAGGAGGAGGAGGAGGAGGAGGAGGAGGGGAGGAGGAGGAGGAGGGAGGAGGAGGAGGAGGAGTGAGGATGAGGAGGAGGAGGAGGAGGAGGAGGAGGAGGAGGGGGAGGGGGAGGAGGAGGAGGAGGAGGAGAAGGAGGAGGAGGAGGAGGAGGGGAGGAGGAGGAAGAGGAGGAGGAGAAGGAGGAGGAGCCCCGCGGACAGGGTACGCAGCTTTCCGCCGCAAGCGGCGCACGTCCTGGCCCGCCTTGTCTTTTCGACTTGTCCCACGCGGTGGGCAAACTTCTGCCTTCCGCGCTCGGGCGCCGTAGCCCTTGCGCCCTGTGTGGGTCTCGCGTGGGGTTTGCGCCAACGCTGGTCCACGCTTTTTCCGCTACTCCACCCTTTGGTCCGCCTCGCTGCTGCACTCCGGGGATGGAGCAACTCTGTCGCTGGCACGGTTGGCTTGCGGCTGTGGCCACGCTGGTGTGGTCTCCCTCTGGCCGCGCTCCAATTCGCCTGGTGTGCTCGGCTTCTTCGCATGCATGGCTGCTACGGCATTTTTCACGTGCATCTGCATCCTTGTTTTTTTCAGCATGCGGCTGCCACCATCCAATCCACCAATCCACCAATCTTCTACTACACCAAATGAAAATTCGCCTAAGCCTGACCTGGTTGCACGCATCGCGACGGTGTCGTCGCCTCGCCGCTGGGGGAACAAATGTGTGCACCACCGCGCCTGTAGCACCGCAGTCAGTGTACTTACTTCCACTGCCTGCGATCGCCATAACAGCATGCTGGACCCTGCCAGCACCACAGTACCCTTCGATCGCCGCAATATGCATGCGAGCGCAGGCAGTGCGCCTGCCAGTACAGCAATATTCCTGTGAACACCGCGGTGTGCCTGCGAGCGCCGCACTATGCTTGTGAGAGCTCCATAGTGGCGGGCGAGAACCAGGCAGGCAAGGTGCGCGTGGCCACGGCAGTAGCCTGCGAGCGCCACCACATGCACGTGAGCGTTAGGGGGTGGGGATCGGGGGTGGGGGGGGGGTAAGCGTAAGGGACGCGCGTTGTGCGCCCACGTGTTAATACTCTCTTAGTGGAAGAGCTCCATCTTGAAAACGTCCTGTGTTCCATCCTTGTGTGTTGCGACTGGATTTCGAGCTTCACGGGCTTAAATTGAGGGAGATATGAGACGAAACGCCCGACCGCCGGTGCGACAGGGGGAAGCTCGATGTAGAAAAGGGATGGGAGGGGAGGAGGAGGAGGAGGAGGAGGAGGAGGAGGAGGAGGAGGAGGAGGAGGAGGAGGAGGAGGAGGAGGAGGAATAAGAGGAGGATGATGATGATGATGATGAGGAGGAGGAGGAGGAGGAAGAGGAGGCGGATGAGGAGGGGCGGAGCTCGAGGAGCAAGAAAGGGGGAATGGTGAGGAAAAGGATGAGGAGGAGGGAGGGTTGAGGAACGAGGTAGTCTCCCCAGAGTACTTCAGGAAGCCCTCGCAGTTCCAAATCGGGTCCGACCCGGCATCCTGGAGCACCTCTCCGGCTGGCGGCTGCGGCGGAGGAGGATGAGCGAGGTGGAGGAGAAGGGGAGATGCATGCTTTCTCTTGCAATGTTGGGCATCTGGGGGGAACGCCTGGCTGTGTCGGTGTGCACATGCAGACGTGAATGGTGGTCTGTGCAGTCTCACAACAGTTTCTTCTGCTCTGGGGCGAACTTGGGGCGCGTGTGAGAGACGAACAAAAAAGGGTCTTACGCAAGAGGACGCGGTGAACTTACGCGATAGCTTATGCAGACCGCGTACGCGTCGAGTTCATTACGTGGACAAGGCGGCGCCTACGCGCGACTATTGGGACACTCCCAAAGCTCCGCTCGAATGAGGCACAAGATGCGGACGCACTCCCCTATCTGGGGCGGCCAAGCGGAGGGCGTCCAAGAGGGGGGGAGCGCAACTCCTGGCCGGCGGCATGTGCGCGGCCTCAGGGGGGGCCAGGGACGCAATGAAATCAGAGGAAACATCATGGCCCATGCCATGGTACCCCCCCCCCTAGTCATCACCCCTCTCCTTGCCGCCTTCCACCTCAACAACACGACCGCCGTGTAAACCACATCTTGGGGCTGCCCGCCCCGCGGGTCGCAGGACGAGATCGGCGACAGATCCAGAGATTCGGCAATCCCACGCTCCTGGGGGGCGGGGGGAGGGGTCTCGCAGACCCCTATCGGGGATGAGTGGACGATCAGGGGTAGATGCGTTCCACCCTGGGCCTGTCTCCCTTAACGTTGCCCCCAAGGAAGAGGAGGGGAGAACGAGGTTGCGAGGAGGAGGAGCAGGAGGAGGAAGAGGAGGAAGAGGAGAAGGAGCAGGAGGAGGAGCAGGAGGAGGAGGAGGAAGAGGAGGAGGAGGAGCAGGAGGAGGAGGAGGAGGAGGAGGACGGAGGGAGGAGGAGGAAGGAGCAGGAGGAGGAGGAGGAGGAGGACGGACGGAGAGGAGGAGGAGGATCGAGGAGGAGGAGGAGGAGGAGGAGTGGAGGAGGAGAGGGGAGAGGAGGAGCCGGAGGAGTGAGAGGAGGAGGAGGCGGAGGAGGAGGAGCAGGAGGAGGAGGAGAGAGGTAGGAGGAGGAGGAGGCGGAGGAGCAGGAGGAGCAGGAGGAGGAGGAGGACTAGGAGGAGCAGGAGGAGGAGGAAGCGAGCGGCAGCAAGAGGAACGAGCGGCACAGCTCCGCCTCTCACCGCAGCCGCCCCCTGAAGGGGGGAGCACCGGCAGCTCCGAGCCCACGACGGTCCGCCGCCACACCGGGCGGGATGGGGGCGGCCGCGGGTGGCGGCACGAGGCGCGGAGCCTCTGGAGACAGGGAGAGGAGAGGGGGAGAGAAAGAGATGGAGATGCACGAGTGAGGACGGGAGAGAGATATAAATAGTGCAAGCAAGGGAAAGAGAGAGATAGAGAGAGAGAGAGAGAGTGAGGACGAGTGAGGACGAGAGAGATGAACGAGCGAGGAGGAGAGCGATAGCGCAAGAGAGATGCAGAATCACATCGGGAGGACCCTGCCTTCATAGCAAGCCATGCTGTGAGCCCTGGTCCGAAACGCCGGGGATGGGGTCAGACATCGGAAGATGTCAGCAGCCCAATGAACCCTAGCGAAAATGTCCGGTTGATTCTCCAGCGTGGATGCGACCAGCAGGGGCGTGTTCGCAAGTGTAACAGAAAGGGGAGAGGGACATACTTCTATACATGCATATGTGTATAGACCTGTAACCATATATATATATAGAGAGATATAAAGATAACGATATATATATATATATATATATTTATATGAATACACATGTATGTATGTATGTATGTATGTATGTATGTATGTATGTATATATATATATATATATATATATATTTATTCATTTATTATATATAGAGAGAGAGAGAGAGAGAAAAAGAGAGAGAGAGAGAGAAAACAAACAAACAGAGAGAGAGAGAGAGAGAGAGAGAGAAAAGGAGAGAGAGAGAGAGAGAGAGGAGGGACTCAAGCGGGCTCAACTCTACCGCGAGCGCCACGACCAAGCGACAGCGCGTGCCACCCGCACCGCCCGCACTGGCACCCTCGTCTCCGCAACCCGAACTGCTTCCTTCCTTTTGCCTCCATGGGCTTGGCCTCTGCCTGAAACAGGGCTAGGATCGGGATAAATCGCTCCAGAACGTTCCGGAGCGCTCTCAGAGCGTTCCGGAATGCTCTGGAGCGGTCGCGGTTATCCCGATCCGATTTCGTCCCGATCTTCGCGTCGTTTTACTGCCGCTCGTGGCGGCCGGGGAACGCATCAGCTCGACCAGGCTCGACCGCCGCCGTCTGCCGGGCAGCCTCGGGCCAGGCCGCGAGGGCGCCAAAGAGGCCGCCTCTCCCCGCGGGCCTGCCGGGAGGCCCGGCCTCGGCAGGGCCGCCCGCGCCCGAGCCCCGGCGCGCGGGCGCCGCGGAGGAGCCCCGTCGCCGCCTCGCTGCCTCGCTGCTGCTCTCCAGTCGATGCCTCGGCTCCCTCCCTGCAGGGCGCCTCCTCCCGGGCCAGGCGAGACGCAGCGCTGCCAATGCCGCCTCGTCGCCACGATGTCCCAGCCACAGCGAGAGAGCAGGAGCGCTCTGATCGTTCGCAAACGCCTTGTCTCTCCTCTGCAGGGCGCCTCCTCCCGGGCCAGGCGAGATGCAGCGCTGGCAATACCGCCTCATCGCCACTATGCCCCAGCCACAACGAAAAAATCAGACACGCTATGAACGTTCGCAACTGGAACAAGTTGAGAAAGAGGGAGGGGCCACCACCTTGGATCTTACACTAACGAGTGAGCGCATGTGTGACTAGCATGTGTGAAAAAGGAGAAACACACAACGAGACAATTACGATGACCTGGTATTCAGCGCCAGTTACATATCCAGGATTGCACAGGGACTGCTGACGTTGGTATTCATGCGATCCCGATTTCGGCTCACCCGTTGGAGCTCTTACTCCGCACCGGCTCGTGCCTGTCCCGTGCTGATTTGATCACCGTCTCCCTCGCCATCGCCGCCCTCGATCCGCCACCATGCCCCCTGGCACTCGGAGGCGTGGCACACTGCCATTTTATTATTATTATTGTTATTATTATTATTACTATTATTATCATTATCATTATTATTATTACTACTATTACTATTACTAATACTAGTATTACTATTATTATTATTACTACTATTACTACTATTATTAATATTATTATTATTATTATTGTTATTAGTATTATTATTATTATTATTATTATTATTATTATTTTTAAAACTATAACATTTTAACACAACTTTTTTTTGTTTTGTTGTTTTTTCCTCGCGCACGCACCCGCCCCGCCAACGCCACCGCCTCGGCCTGCTGGCGCCCGCGCCGCCCAGGCCGGCCGCCGCCCAAGCCCACGCCCGTACTCCAGGCACCCGCCCGTGCAGGTTTTCTGCACATGCGGCTCCTCGGCCCCCCTTTCCTAGCAAAGCTCTCCTCCTCCCTCCTCCTCCTCCTCCTCCTCAGTTCCTCCTCCTCTCCTCCTTCTTCCTCCGCCTCCCCCTCCTGCTCCTCCTAATCCCTCCTCCTCCTCCCTCCTCCTCCTCCTCCTCCTCCGTCCTCCTCCTCCTCCTCCTCCTCCTCCTCCCTCCTCCTCCCGAGCTTCCGTGCGCGGCCCGACGCTTCCCCTCGGGGCTCTTCTCCGAGGCTTCCGGGACGGCCCATGGGGGCCACCGAGGGCCGCCAGCACTGCGCCAGGCTGCTCCCAGCAGCCCCCGAGACCCCACTTGGGGCCGGAGGGGCCCCAAGAAACTTCCAAGTCCCAGGGCCCCATAATCCTGCGACGCACCGGCCCTTTCCGGACAATTGTCGGCTACACTAAGGACCGCTCGACACAGACGAACATGACGAATACCCGCAATTCGCAACTGCCCAGGGACTTGCGAGGTCTCAGCTGGATGTGCGTACTCCTTCTCTCTGCTGGGCCTCCAAGGAACCCACGAACACATGGCGACAATTGCGCATTTCGCAACACCCCTGGGGAGCCGCGAGGTCTCGGCTGGATCTTTGCGCACCACCCCACTCCGCTGGGCCTCCCAGGAGCTCACGAAAGTGGCGACGGTTGTGCGCTTCGCCGCCCCACCCAGGGAGCTGCGAAGTCTCGGCTGGGTCTGTGTACCACTCCACTCCGCTGGTGCTCCCAAGAACCCACGAGCATGGCGACGGCTGCGCACTTCGCACCCCCCCAGGGAGCCGCGAAGCCTCGGCTGTATCAAATTTCTACCCTACTGTGTTGGGCCTCCCAGGAACCCACGAAAGTGGCGGCAATTGCGCCCTTCGCAGCCCCCCAAGGAGCCGCGAGTTCTCGGCTAAACATGCGTACCACCCCACTCCGCTGGGCCTCCAACGACCCCACGAAATCAGCGACACTTGCGCCCTCCGCAACACCCCAAGGAACCGTTAAGTCTCAGCTGCATCGGATTGCCACGCCACTCCGCTGGGCCTCCCAGGAGCCCACGATAATGGGGACAATTGCGCCCTGCGCAACACCCCCAGGCCCCCAGGGAGCCGCGAGGCATCGGCTGGACCTGCGTACCGCCCCACTCCGCTGGGCCTCTCAGGAGCCCACGAAAATGACAACACTTACGCAGTTCGCAGCCCACAGGGAGCAGCGAGGAGGGGGATGATGATGATGATGATGATGATGATGATGATGATGATGATGATGATGATGATGATGATGCTGCTGCTGCTGATGATGATGCTGCTGCTGATGCTGATGCTGACGATGATGATTACGATGAAGGTGATGATGATGCTGCTGATGATGAAAAACCTGAATTTGATGATGCTGATGATGATCGTGATGCTGATGCTGCTGCTGCTGATGATGATGATACTGCTGATGATGGTGATGCTGATGATGGTAACGCTGATGATGATGCTGATGCTGCTGATGCTGCTGCTGCTGATGGTGCTGCTGATGATTCTGCGCATGATGACTATGCTGATGACTATGCTGATGGTGTTGCTGATGATGCTGATGACGATGATGGTGATGATGACAAGGAACAGGAGGATGATGATGAGGAGGAGGATGGATACCATGTGTTCTTTGCACAACGAGAACCCCACAGGTTGGGACAACGCCAAGATCCCCAAACGAATACCCACATGCTCTCCAGAAGACCCACATGACGCAACACCTCGGGGGGCTCTTCGGCTTTTGAATGTTTTGCGTTTTCTGGGCCTCTCCGCTCAAGGTTCTAAGAGGGCTTAGGAGAAGCCTGCGAGAGGCCAGAAGAGCCCAATGAGGGCCTCAAGAGGCCCCAAGACAATCCGAAGAGGGCAGCAAGACTGCCCAGTAGGACCCCGGAGCAACCCAAGAGGGCGAGGGCCCGAACGACTCTCCAGGCCGCCGAGAGGGCCCCCAAACAGCCCCCACAACGCCACCGAGTCGACCCGCTGGCACGGTGGCGGAACTTGCCGAAAACAACTGGAACGACCGTCAATTCCACCACGGCGGAGACACCTCGCCACTATCACCATGTCCGATATTGCCGCCTGATGACTCCGCACCACAGCCTTCTTCTTCTTCCGACTGGGGAACATCGTAAAATCCGCCGACCCTGTCGGCGTGTGACAAGGGCTGTTCCGTCGCCATCGCCGTCGCTGCGGCCGTCGAGTCGCCGCCGCCATCACGTCCCCTCCTTCCCCTGAGTCCGTCGCCGCTCCCCCCCTTTCCTTGGGCCCTCGTCCTCAAGCACGCCAGCCAAGGCGAAATGCACCAGCGAAATTAAGCAACGTTGTCATTGAATCGCCCCTTCCCTTTGATCCCTTCCCCGCGGAGGGGGGGGGTCACGGGGGGTGGTCCCAGGGAAGGGTTCTGGGGGGTGGTCCCGGGTCAGAATACCACCCTCCAGGGGCCCATGGCCCGCCCTCTCCCTCCCGTTTCCGTCGAGGGCCGAGGCCTCCAGGGTCGGCGGCACCAGCCGTAAGGCCTTTGCAATCAGCGAAACGCGTTCGGATGCCTTTTGCCGATAGGGCCTGGCTGGCGCCATGCCATCTCTTACCCGGTGGTTCTGGTGATCCCCACCAACTGCGTGCGCTTTCTTTTCACGCCTCTATGGTGCATCAAAATCGCTTCCTTGGTCAGTGGAAGCAACCGCCGCTGCTGTTCGGGGATGAAGGTCTTTGCTGCCACTGTCGGGCCCTGGTTTTTGGACGGCCACGGAGCCCCCCAAAGCGGCTCCGCTGGGTCGCCGACGAAACGTCGGACCCTCTGGCACCGGCCTTCCCCGACAACGCAAATCGTTCGAGATCGATCCGCTGTCTGTACTTTTTCAGCAGTGCCGCCTCGAATCGGAGGCCTAGAGCTTGACACCAACACCAACATCGGCGGTGTGCTTCCGCCGAGGGAAGATGATCCCGACCTCGGTGATGGTGGTAGTATTCGGGCTTCCCAAGTGGCCGACAACTTACCACCACCACCAAAATCCAGGATCATCTTCCGCCCGTGCAGGCACCCCCTGGTGCTGATGTTAGGTCGGGCGTGTCCCCCTACAGGCGGATTTTGGACGAAAAATAAAAGCACCAGCAACAGATCAAGAAAGAGCTAAAACAATCGTCCCCAGACTATTTTTAGGCAATCTTTGAATATTCCTCCTGCAGAGGGACAGGCAAGGCTTAGTGCTGGTGTTGGTGCCCATTTCCAGGCTTCCAATCACATTCCCCAAGGCTGGCTCTCATCCCGAATCGCTCTCTGGCGGCCCAAGGACCTGGCGCGAGGGCCCCTGGAGTGGCCCTCGGGCCATGTCCCGGGCACCCCTGGGATACTCTCGGCAGAGCGCAGCCTCGGGGGCGGCCAAGAGGGGTGGGCGCATATCATGGCTGGCGGCATGTGCGCGGCCCAGGGGAGGGGGGCCGGGGACGTTTTGCAACAAGGAGAGGCGCCATGAAATCTGAGGGGATATCATGGCCCCCGTCATGCTATTCCCCCAATGGTCCTCCCCCCCCCCTCCTCTTTGCCGCACCCGACAGCTGCTGGCCAACACTCCGAGCAGTCACAACCTCCAACTGTCAGCGAGCACGTGCGAAAAACTGAAGGTACCCAAGGATATACACACATACACGAACACACATTCCGAGGTTCCAAGCCTTTTTCGATTTTTGCTTTGAGTTTTTGTCGTCCCCTTCGTTTCCAACACTCTCGACTTTTTCGAAACCGACGTTTGCTTGTGTCCGCGTTCCGTATCCCCTCCTGCAAGACCATCGTGCCCCCAAAACACATTGGGCTCTGCGCGCGGCGCGGGGGCGGGGCACGCTGGTGCGGAACTCTTGGTTCGACCCGCGGAAGCGTATGATCGCGTACGGGTCCGCCTTGTCGAACCAACCGCTGCCGCCTCGGCCAGCCGGCGGCCCCCCTGGGGGCCCCGATCTCGGAAGGCCCCGGGCCAACGCCACGCCGGGCAGGATCTGCCGGCGTCGAATCGGGAAGCCGGCTGATCGGCAGACGCTGGCTGCTCGGATCAGAACGAGGAGGAAGAGGAGGAGGAGGAGGAGGAGGAGGGAGGGTGGAGGCGGAGGCGGAGGAGGGAAGCAGGAGGAGGAGGAGGAGGAGGAGGGGAGGAGGAGGAAGGAGGAGGAGGACGAGGAGGAGGAGGAGGATGGAGGAGGAGGAGGGGAGGAGGAGGTGAGGACGCAGGAGGCCCGGAGGCGGAGGGGAGGAGGAGGAGAGGAGGGGAGGGCAGAGGAGAGGAGGAGGAGGAGGAGGGAGGAGGAGGAGGAGGCGGGAGGAGGAGGAGGGGAGGAGGAGGAGGAGGAGGAGGAGCAGGAGGGAGGAGGGAGGAGGAAGGAGGAGGAGGAGGAGGGGGAGGAGGAGGGGGAGGAGAGAGGAGAGGAGAGGGTGAGGAGCAGGAGGAGGAAGGAGGGAGGAGGAGGTGGAGGAGGAGGAGGAGGAGGGCAGGAGAGGAGCAGGAGCGAAGGAGGAGGCGGAGGAGGAGGAGGAGGAGGAGCCGCGGGCCACACAGGGCTCGTGGGCGGTAGCCAGAAGCAGGAGGCCGAGCAGGAGTGAGGAGGGAGGAGGAGGAGGAGGAGGAGGAGGAGGAGGGGTAGGAGGAGGAAGAGGAGAGGAGGAGGAGGAGGGGAGGAGGAGGAGGAGGAAGAAGAGGGAGGTGGAGGAGGAGGAGGAGGAGGAGGAGGAGGAGGTGGGATAGAGGATCAGGAGCAGGAGCAGGAGCAGGAGGAGGAGGAGGAGGAGGAGGAGAGGAGGAGAGAGGAGGAGGAGGCGGACGGAGGAGGGGGGGCAGGTTGTACCAGCCAAGACCTTATCCCTATCTCTAAGATCGGCAAGCCCGAGGCGATGACAATCTCAGGGATGTGCCCTCAGAAACCGAGGGGGCCCTTAAGATCGGCACCGGGGAAAGGTAATCCTTAGGGTGATGCCAAACATAGGGAGAGGGATAAGTTTCAAGCTGGTGAGGGTTGGACGGGACCTTCCGCGGACTGCGAGGCCGAAGGAGCAGCCTGTCAGCAACGAGCGGCGCTGCAGCGCGCAGGCAATACCGCGAGCCAGGCGAGGGCAGTGAGCCACGGGCGTCAGGGAAGAAAAATCAGAGGCGGGAGAGGGGCAGAAGGAGGCCCTCCTCCTCCTCCTCCTCCAGATTCTGGTCTTCTCCGGTTGAACCAGGAGAGCGCGCTTTTCACGCATGCAGCGATGCAACACAGTATCACGAACACGGCATTATGAGGCAACAAGAGAAAGGAAGGATCAACGAGCACAATCCGAGGCGAAGTGGCACCATCCCTGGCCCCATCCCCCTTCCTCCTCCTACTCCTCCTCCTCCTCCTCCTCCTCCTTCTCCTCCTCCTCGTTCTCGTCGGCATCAGCGTCGGCGTCGGCGTCGGCGTCGGCGCCTTCGCCGTCGCCGTCGTCTTCGCCGTCGCCGTCGCCGCCGCCGTCGCCTCCGCCGCCGCCGCCGTCCTCCTCCTCCTCCTGTGGCGACGGGCGGTGCCCCCCCCGTCGCACAAACCCCGAGGCCCGCGAACCCGCACCTGCAGCCTGGCAGGGTATCTCCTCCCCCTCCTCCTCCATTTCGTTTCTTCCCTGCTCCCTCTCCTCCTTTCGCCTCTTCCCACCGCCTCCTCCTCCCGCCTTTTTCCGCCTGCCTCGCTTGCTCTCTCACTCGTTTGTTCCTTCTTCTCCTCCTCCTCTTCCTCCTCCCGCCTCGTTCCCACAGACGCATCCTCCCTCCCCCCTCCTCCTCCTCCTCCTCCTCCTCCTCCTCCTCCTCCTCCTCCTCCTCCTCTCTGTTCCTTTCCTTCTCCGTAGCCATTGTGGCTCAAGCCGTCCACCAACGGGCCAACCCTCATTGGCTCGAACCAACTTGTCATGGTTCTCGCGCTGCTGGAGGCTCCCTGCCGTGAAACTTGAGGATGGCACGGGTGGAGTCGCCGCAGCGTGGCAAGCCGTCGCTCTGGAGACGGACGCGGCCGAGGACCGAGCGCACAGTCGCGCGCCGGCGAGCGGAGACCGCTGCTGATTTTCGGTCTTGCGGCGTCGCTGTCGCGCGTCGCTGAGCTGGAGGTCGCCGTGGAGATGTTGATCGGCGTGCAAGGCGTGGCCGATTCAGTGGAGGCGAGCCTTCGGGCCCTCGCCGCACTGGCGCGAGGAGTCGAGCCGCCTCGACTCGACCAGCTGCGCAGGAACGTCGCGCTCAACTCCGCCGCCGAGGGGGTGTCGTCGGTCTCCGCGGTAACCTGCCAAGGGATCCACGAGGAGCAAGCGAAGGCGCCGCGGCAGGGCGGCGCCTGGGCTCGACATCCAGCGCGTGGCGGCCGAGCCCTGCCTGCGCCCTGAGGCCCCTCCTTTCGTCCCTGGTGCAGGCAGCTGGGAGGTGCTGAACGTTGCGGGCTTCCTGTGCACGCGCGGGGCCACGGTCTGCTCATCATGCTGTGCTGTCGCAACCTTCTGGCCAAACAACCCCGAGGGGGTCCAGGAGCCGGAGGGA